TAGTGGCCATCGTTCACATGCGTCAGTGTGCAATAAGGAACTGTCCAAGGCTGCGCAGTATACACCAAAGATCCAGTCGCTGTTTGTTGAATCTGTTCAGATCGCACATGATCTCTTCCAGACAACTCGTGGCCCTTTCCATGGCTACCCATATTCGTCTACCGCGTTGGCGACCAACGCAAGGGGGTACGATTTGGACGATCCGAGTCTTTCCCGACAACCTGACGGCTCGATTGCGAGACCACCGTCGGGGGGCTTGCCTGACCTGCCTGCGCGGATAGCGTCAACGTGCACTTTCCATCATGATGGGAATCCGAGACATCGCAGATGGTGCGACAAGGATGACTATCATTGGGAGTGTCCGAGTTGTAAGAAGAACTACGGGAACCTGGACATGTACTAACACCTGGCAAATGCAAGTTTGCCAAGCCTTGGAAGCTTCCCGACAATCATGGACAGATCCCGCCGGTTCCGTCGGACCTGCAGCAGGACCTGCACCGCCAGATCTTGCCGAAGCAGCAGCACCGCCACCTGAGGCACCAGCAGCACCAGCACTTGCGCGACTGAGCGCACCTAGACCTGGCTTGAGAGCTGGACCCACCGCGGGCGCAAGCAGTCACGACATCACTGTCCGAAGACATGCTGCCGAGCCTGCTGCAGGGCAGCCTGCCTCAAGTGGAGCTAGTATCTCGGATGGCCACCTCCGGCTGCCACAGGTTAGAGTCAGACGTGGTCGACAGCAAGGTGGAGAAGCGCCTCCGCCAGCACCAGCAGGGAATCCTGCCGCACGACCACGACTACCAGATTGTTCACGGTTCGATGTACAAGGCAGCTTACAACATCTGCGAAGCCTGGACCCTAGCGTGGTAACACGCGAGCTGCGAAAGCTGCACTTCCGCTGGTTCCATGCGACGGAGCCTAAGATGAGACCCATCTTAAGCAAAGTAGGTCTGGAACATGTTTGACTCAACCTCATCAAGGGCGTCTGCGACACGTGCCGTGAATGCAGAGCTTGGGACAAACCTGGACACGCAGTTATGCCCTCTACTGCATTACCTGGCAAATTTTATGACGAAGTGGAGTGTGACTTGATGTTCTACAAGCAAGAGCACATGACATTTCACATTATCGATCGTTGTATACGATTTGCTACTGGGATGGAATTACCAGATAAAAACTATGATTATTATCCTGGGTGCATATCATCAGTGATGGATACAGTTTGGACCAGTTAAGGTACTCTACTCGGATGGAGAAGGTGCCCTTAATACTGACACTGCGAAAGCAGTCCTCAAGGCAAGAGGCACTGAACTTAGAATGCGCGCGCGTGGACAGCACGCTACGACGATCGAGGCCAGAAATGGCATCCTACGCCATCTACTTCGCGCAATGGAGGCTGAACTCAGTAGTTTAGACATACCTCTTGTGTTCACTAGACTACTGCATGAAGCCTTGATTGCTGCCAACGCATTCACTTTCTACAACGAGGTGTTTCCATACAATGCACTATTTGGACGGCAACCAGCAATGCTTCGTGACCTCCCTGTTCTGGACCACGAGCAGTCGACATAAACATCAGACCATTCTCGTGAACAGGCAATACGCAGGGTATGCATCGAGGCGATCACGCAGGCCGCGGCAGCAGCTAAGACCAATCGTGCTCTACGCACTAAGACGACAATTACATGTCAGCACTATTATGACGGAGATTTGGTTGATTACCGTCGCCCTACGACTACTAAAGATGACTGGGGAGGCTGGAATGGCCCTTTCCCAGTTGCAAGGCATGGTCCCGAAAGGTTCAGGTCATCATCCGAGTAGGCAACCGAGGTGTTCAAGTACAATGCGGCGATGCAAGACACTCGCGCTCATAGCCCGAGAGATTGGCTCCGACAACATGCGCTACGTACAGTGTTGACACTCGTAGCTAGCATTTCGGCGGGGAGACCTGCGTTAACATTTGGCTATGTGCCGACCAAGAGAGGCGCGCTTCCGATGACAACGGCAAGTCGTCTATCTCCAAAGGTACATTTGTCTCTACAATATATCATCGGAAACTTCTTCCGCATTGAAAACGTAGTTTCGGTCAGATTAGCCAAGAGTATACATAAGGTACCTCTGGTCACTTATGCTGACAGCTGCACGTTTGTCCATTACGACCATGACGTGAATCCAGAATTTCATTACTATGAAGCAGAAACTACCGCTTTGAATATATATATATGATATAACTGGACCGGCACATTCACGAATCATCCAATGCCTGAAGTCCACTAAACCTCAGGCAGGCTACGACCAAGACATGTCAAAGTTTGAGGGCTTAGCTGATGCGCCGGCACTTGAGGGAGCCCCAAGAGAGGCTTCAGAAGCCGAACCAGAGCATGATGATGGACGGCTCTCCACGATCTACGAGGAATCAGAAGCTGATCTTGAGTCACGTGTCCTGGAGGTATGGCACGCAGAGTTGCGGGGGGAAAAGGCATTGTTGGAGGCAGCTCCACTAGAAGATCTCTTTACCGTACCCACACAGATGGTTCCTGATCAGAGCGCGCTGATCATTGTAGCTGATGAACAACGGGGACATCTGCCGAAGTGGGGACGTACTCACGATCCCGATATCGAGGGGACTTATTACGCCCCCTTATGCACCATGGTCGAAGACGATAGCTACGGACTCGACTCCGACGAAAACGGTCGATACGTTAAATTGTGCTATACGACAGAAATGTCAAAGGTAGTCTTGTCCGAACAGCATCAGGAGAGGAAAAAACACACAAACACAATTAATCCTCGATTTCCCAGAAAATATGGGAACATATGGGAAGTGGGCGGGGAGACAGAAACACAGAAAATATGGGAAAATATGGGGAATATTTTTATTTGTGTGTATTTATTTGTGTGTCCTGGGGCCCCTTCACAGCAACGCATGTTGTTAGACGCCGACTGGGTGACCACTATGCGAGTATATATTACTGCCGCTGCAAAGCGAGCTGCGGTTGCGCGGCGAAGACGACCTCCTCACTAGAACTGATGTTCAGGCAAATCCCGAGAGCATATCGAAGGCCCTTTTCACTGAAATCAAGACATGGTCCGACAACGGACGCTTTAAGATGCAGGAGATAGCCAAAACGTCGAAAATCACGGCTTCAAGGTATGTCTACACATGGAATTTCGTGAAGAAAGAAAAGGGTGAAATGGAACGCACCATCCGACTTCGTTTGGTACTTCGAGGCTTCATGGACCTTGAATATTTCGACGTAGAAGCGTTTTCGAGAACGGCCGGAAGGTCAAGCCAAATGATACTTGCTAGCACGGCAGCGTGCAATAAGCAGTGGATTATTGCTTCCCCGGACATCAACATGGCTTTCCTGAAGGGATTGGCCAATCAGGAACTCGCTGAGGCCATTGGTGAAAAGGAACGTGTGGCGTGCTTTACCTTGCCGCCTGGATCGGCAACTGTGCTCCGTGCTCTCCCAGGATTTGAGGACTACGACGAGTCGAAGCACTGTTTGCAGTGCTTGAATCTGGGCACAGGCACTAAGAGCGCCCCGCGGGATGTCTCAGTTAAGCTCAGGAGAACCACTAGAGGAATTGGCCTCCGACCAACGTCCTACGACGAGGAGGTCGAGACGAGCAGCAACCTGCTCATGGCCAAGTATGTTGATGACATTAACATGGCCTGTACTGAGGACACTATTGACAAGTATGTCAAATGCGTTGAGGATACCTTTGGTATGTGTAAACTCAACAAGCACACATACACGGACCGTGCTGTGATATATACCAAGGGCGAGGACGGCAATGACACTTTGGATCAGGATGGATACATTATCACCCCGAGTTCGGGGGAACGTGCGATGCCGCCCCAAAGGCCACCTAAAGCACCCGCTTCGATGAACACGATGAACCTGCGCCAGTTTCTGGCGCAGCATGATTGGATGAGTGCAGCACGTGAGGATGAGACCGAGTTGACCAATGCGATCGGTAGCCCATCCACGGTATGGAGATGGTGCATCACAGAGCGGCTGGACAGGCACAGTATTGGCACCCACACGCACACAGCTACATATGAAAATCAATTAGCTGCTGATGGGTGAGCCCAGGGCTGCGAGCCTGAACACGGGTATGTAGATGATTCATTGGCTTACTCCGCGCCGCCGACTCTTTGGGAGCCCTAACTGCCTCTCTTCTGGGGGGGTGATTTAGTAGAGGCGTCTTGGCGGTCGTGCGCCCGTCTGGGAAACCCAAAGCCGTGCTCAAAAAGAGCCCTGCAGGGTGCTGTTTGGGCCCACTTGGAGACCTTTCGGGGGCCTCTGGTGTCTCTTTAGGGCTGTTGGCGGCCTTTTGGGTTTCCATCAGGAGCATGCTGGAGGTCTTGGGGGCCATCTTGCGAGGGAGGGCCTCTGGGGCCCTTCGAGTTCCCCCCCCGTAGGCTCCTGGGGACCCAGCTGAATCCGCCGGGCCCGTTGGGTGGAACCCCGGTGAGGGGTTTCGGAAGGGGCAGACATCGCACACGCCGAGGAAACCTCGAGGGGTCGGCTATGTGGCAGAGATGGAGAACATACAGAGACGAGGAATCGTGCTATCATTAGAAGTCTGATTCTAATACAGGGAGGGTCACGGGTAGGAGTGTGTGCAGTGGTCTGCGTAAGGGTAAGTAAGGGCAGGAAGATGAGGAACCTGACGAGGAGGAGGAAGAAGAGGAGGAAGAGGACGAAGAGGAGGAGGAGGGATGAGGAGGGAGGATGGAGGGATAATGGAAGAGGAGGAGGAGGAGGAAGACAAGGAGGAGGACGAGGAGGAGGAGAAGGAGGAGGAGGAGGACGAGGAGGAGGAGGACAAAGGAAGGGGAGAAGGATGATGATGAGGAGGAGGAGGCCGAAGATGAGGAGGAGCAGCGCAGCAGCAGCAGCAGCTGCCCGAAGGGAGGACTGCAGGTGGACCTGCGCAGGTGGGCCGAGGCAGGGCGGCGTGAAAGGGGACGCGGGGCCTGGGCGGAGATCATCTACGAGCTCTTCGACACGGTCAAGAAGGCGCTCACCGCTGAGATTGGGGAGGAGGACCGCTCCGCTTGCTTCCTGCCCGCTCCGCCCTGCTTGTTTTCTTCGTCTTCCTCATCCCGATCGTGATCGGGGCGCTTCGTTCGTGCTCGGCGTGCCGGGCCCCATCTGGCAAAGCAGCCAAGAGAGTGGACACGTTGCAGTCTAGGCTGATCTGTTGGATCTCGCGCCAGAGGAAGGGATTCGTGGAGACGGCAGGTGATCTGTTTTTAATACATACATTATAACATCAGACGGGCGATGATGCGGGCCAGTCCGCGGCACGCTCGCGCTGCGGCTTTCGGCCCCGGTGCGCTGCCCGTCGGTCAGAGCAGGCTGTCACTCGGCAGCCCGCAGGAGGCCGGGGGCATGCGCTCTTCCTCGTCGTCTCTCCTCCTTCCTCCCGTCTGCATTGCGTCTTGGCCTGGCACGCGCCCGCCGCCCTGGCAGCGCGAAGGCGGCCGGGAGTGACCATCGCAGGTTCGTTTTCCCCTCGGTCTGGGTTTGTGGTCTCGCCCGCAGGCCAGAGGGAGTTTCACACGGAGAATCCTCGGGACGGGCGCTCCTCCCCGTCGCCGTATCGACGTGCTGCCCACAGCAGGAGAGGCCTGACGGCCGACCCTGAAGGGGGACCAGGAGACCCCAGGAAGATGGCGAGGGAGCCGAGGAGCACCAGGGTGCTCAGAGACATGTCCCAACCCAGTGGGTTGAAGCTCACGCAGCTTCGTGCATCGGTAGTCAGTGGAGCCACATGTGGAAGAATCCCGACTTCTGGAGCTCGGTGGTTTCACGGAGCATGGTTGAGTATTCGGCAAACGTTATGGTCTGCAGCTCTCGCAGCTCCAAGACCACCACGATGTCTTCCCGTGGCAGTTTCGTTTTTTTTTTCGCGGGGACCAGATATGCTGCATTTCTCGAAGCGTGAATCAAGTTCTGAAGCGCTGCGTCACCCACACCCCAAAGTGCATGCCATCATCATCGTCGCCATCATTACCACAACCATCATCATTATCATAATTCTCATCATCATCAGTATCATCCTTACCATCATCATCGTAGTCGCTATTATCATCATCGTCGTCATCATCATCGCTATCACCGTCATCCTCATCATCAGCATCAGCATCCTCCTCCTCATCCTCGTCAGCATCATCCACATCCTCATCCTCGTCTTCATCCTCACCCTCATCCTCATCATCGTCACTGTCACCATCGTCGTCATCATCAGCATCATCATCAACAGCATCATCGTCGTCGTCATCGTCATCCTCATCGTCCTGGTCATCAGCATCGCCATCATCATTATCATGACCTCGTCATGATCCTCGCGAAAGAAGGTGACGGTGTCGGTATTGATGTCTGTCACGTTGTTGTGGTAGATATCAGTTGGCATGGCTTTGCCAGTCGATCGAGGAATCTCGCAAGGTCAAGCAGATCGACCCCGCTTCCTATGACTTCTCGGTCCGTGTCCCTCCTCCGCCTCATGGGTGTTGGAGCGTCAGGCCACACTCCAGGATGTACCCGCGCTGCGCGTAGTCTTCGCCTACTATCCGCCTTCCTTGAACAAAACGCCGCACCAGGGCATGCAGCTCGCATTATCTAATGTCTGGAACAAATTTACTCATCCAGCTGCATGCGGCAAGTCCCACCACTGTGCCAGCCACGCACCCTCGGATGCGATTGTTCGAGAGGCGACTGGTTGTGTGTGCGTTGATCGTTGAAGTAATGGCCAGAACGCCGCCACATGTCGTTTTTGATCGCCTCGGGTCGATTGGACCATCTGAGGTCGCTTTGGGGCGAGCTAGGAGGATGGAGGAGCTGATGTTGAGGATGCGGTGAGAAGGATGATCATGATGCTGATGATGATGAGGATGAGTATGAGGATGATGATGCTGATGGTGGTCGTGGTGGTGATGATTGTGACGATGCTGCTGCTGCTGATGATGACGATGGTAATGATGATGGCGCATCTGCCTGTTGATGATGATGCTGATTATGGTGATGATGATAATGATGATGCTGATGATGCTGATGATGTGGATGGTGATGGTGATGGTGGTGCTGGTGATGATGCTGGTGCTGATACTTCTGATACTGATGATGCTGCTGATGATGCTGATGATGACGATGCTGCTGCTGCTGATGATGATGATGACGGTGTTGATGCCGATGATGTTGATCCTGATGAGGATTCCGATGATGATCCTGATGCTGATACTGATGATGATGATGATGCTGATGCTGATGCTGATGATGATGATGATGATGCTGATGATGATGATGATTCCGATGATGATGATGATGATGATGATGATGATGATGATGATGATGATGGTGATGATGATGATGATGATGAGGCTGATGATGATGAGGAGGAGGAGGATAGAGAGGAGGAGGAGGTGGAGGAGGAGTAGTTGGAGTAGGAGTAGTAGGAGGAGGAGGAGGAGGAGGAGGACCAGTGTAAATTCAACAGCCATCAACGATGGTGTAATAATCCTTCAGTCCAAGCTCCCTCTTCATAAGCCCCATACAAGGCTTCAGTCCCACTGAGGGAACTGCCTCGTTTGAAGACAACCGTTTGAAGACCCTGATGCATGCGAAATCATCGTTCTCGCGATTCCAACGCCACGGATCAACCTGACTGTTGCGTCTTGACGATTCTGCATCGTGCCAGAACGTCCTTCTTGGGACTTCGACACCGCGAATCAACGAAACGGTTGCACCCTCACAATCCGACGTCCTGACAAAACGCCGTCTCTTGCATGTTGATCAGGGGAAACCGTTAGTTCTTGCACTTTTGTTAAGGTGCACGACGTTGAGGCGAGAGCCACCGTTTGAAAAAAATCCGCCTTAAATCCGTGAAACTCTTGCACATGTTTAGAAGAAATGCGTGCGGCGCTAAGGCGATGACAACATTTTGCAAAGGAACCGCCCTCAATCCGTGAAACGATTGCAAAGTTTTGAAACGAAGGTGCCCGCCGCTAAGGCGATAGCCACATTTTGAAAACCACACGCCCTCAATCCGTGAAATTATTGCAACGTTTTGGAACGAATGCGCGCGGCGCCAGGCGAGAGCCACATTTAAAAAACGACCCGCCCTCCATCCGAGAAGCTGCTGTCAGTGTTTAAGCTTCAGGGTCATTATTAGTGAGGCAGTCTCATGCGAAACGTTCGGGCCGCCCTAAAAACTGGCCTCGGGGTGCGACAGGGGGAAGTCATACATAAAGAAAAAAGTCATGAGGAGGAGGAGAAAGCGCATTGTAGTAGATGAGTGAGATGTGGAATCTCATGATGGTGATGGCTTTCAGGAGAAGGAGGAGGAGGGTAAGGAGGAGGAGGATGCGGAGGAGGCGGAAGAGGACGGTCGTCACATGTGACCTTTCCGCCTGAAATTCTCGAGGAGCTCGCATGGAGCTAATGCTGGTCTTCTGGGCTGGCTGGGCTCCTGCTGGGCCAGTCTTGACGGATCCCGTCGGGCCTGGAGGCCGTCTTGGTGCCCCCGTTGGGTTGTTTGGGGGCTTGGCCGTCTGGGTGGGGGGTGGGCTTTTGGGGACATCGTTGGGCCGATCGATGTTGGCCGTCGAGGAGCTCTCTAAGTCAGTCTTGGGTCCCTCCAGACGCCTTCTCTGGCCAGCTTGTTGCTCTCTCGTGGCCGTCTTGAGCCGTCCAACGGCCCCCTTGGGCTGCTTGAGACCGTCTTGGATGATTCTCGGGCAATTTCGGGAGCCTCTTGGTACGTGTTGGGGCCGTCTTGGATGTCTCTGGGGCCGCCTGGTGCTGCAGGAAGTGAGGAGGCCGCGGCTTAAACTGACCCCCCCCTTCGCATAATTCCGTCCAAGAAAAGCCGAAATGTAGCCGTGCCCTGTGGGCGAGCAGCTTTCCTGCGAGCGTGGCTTTTTTCATTGAGCGAGCAGCTTTTCTGCGTGCGCGAGTAGCTAGAGCTTCGGCGCGTTTGAGTGTCGGGCGCGCCGGTCTGCTCTAGCGCAGCCCGTGCGAGCTTCAACCCGATTCGACTGCGGATCTTTGCGTGCGCCATCGCTCCATGATGCGGTCTGCGAGCTTGAGGACATGGCGTGTTTTTTGTTGTCGCTGTGATGATACGCGCGCCCCGCACGGGCGCCTTCATCTGCCCTGGCCGATTGGGTGGGCACTGCAAGATCTTGCAAGGTTTAGGGGTCTCTCGCGCTTTTCGTCGGTCCGCATATTGTGCCGTCTCGGCGCTCTCTTGTCGTTCGCCCTCCACGTTGCTTTCCTTTTCTGTGTCCGCCAGGTCCGTGACCGTGTCTGTTCCTGTCAAGGATGTAGTTCCTATGGATATCCCCTTCGTGGAAGATCGTCCCTGTGTCGCCGACATGCTACCCCGTCGCTGTGCTACAGCAGTGCTGCAGCTGCGCGGCCGTCCTCAGTCGTGCTGCTGCGGCTATGTCGCGGCGTCCCGCGGCGATGCCGCCCAAGAGCCCGCTTTGCTTCGGCTGCCCCGCGGCTGTCCCGCGCGCCCTTTTCAGCGCAGGGCGGGGTCGCCTCGACGAACGCAAGCCGCGGCCTCCTCAGCAGGAAGCCTGAACAGGGTGAAGGCGCCCACATCTTTGAACAGCTCATGACACATCTAGACTTTCGGGTTCTGGGGCCCTACTGGGGGTCCTCTTGTGGCTCTCTTGGGACGTGTTGAGGGCCTCTCGTGCCGTCTTGAGGCCATCTTGGGTTGCCTTGGGACCATCTTGGGCCGCTTTGCAGCCTTGGCTGTCTGTCTTGGCCTTCGTGGAAGCTCTGGGGCGGGGAGCCATTGTTTTTTACACGAGATCGTGGCCCTGGAGCGTGGATCAATACCTTTTGAAAAGGGTTCGCGGCCTCGGGAGCGCGGACCCATTCCTTGTTACAGGGGGCCGTGGTCTGGGGAGCGCGGGCGCATTGTTTTCTATAGAGGTCGTGGCCATGGGATTGCGGAGCAGTTGTTTATCGTGCAAGTGGTGGTGGCTTCGGGAGCGCATACCAACCTGTCTTTACGAGGGAAAGTAGGGCATGCATGCTCCTGAGTGCGACCAGGAGGGGGGCGGGGGCTTGATAGGTTTAGACAACCCAAACCTTATTGGACAGCAGTTGGCATTCTACTGCGCCTCACCGTGCCAGGGGGCACGGTGACGGATCCTTCCGACGATATATATATATATATATATATATATATATATCGGAGTAGGGCCCCGGGGCGGTGCTTGTCATCTCCATGGGGGGCGCAGGGCGCCCCTGGGAGCGTCCGAAGCGTCCCGGAGGGCCCCTGGGACCGCCAGGAACAGTTCGAGACCGCCCAAGACGGTCCGCGAGCGCTCCAAGACGCGCATAGATAGCCTCAGGAACGGCCAGGAAGGCCCGAAGACGTTCCAAGAGAGCTCCATGAGGCCCCGAAGGCATCCCAAGAGGCCTCCCAAGAGAGCCCCGACAAGCCAACATCGTTGATTTTTATTGTATTTTTTTTTTGGGGGGGGGGGATTTTTGGCCTTCTCGCTTTTTCGGGGTTCCGACGCTCCAAGGCCGTCCAAGAGTTTCCCAAAACTGCTCCAAGACGGCCGAAGAGGCCCCCAAGACCGCCCCAAGACGGCCCAAGAGACCCCAAAATCGTCCCAAGACGGCCCAGGAGAGCCCCAAGATGGCCCAGGAGCCGCCCAAGACGGTTCCAGGAGTGCCCCGACAGGGCTTCAAAACTGCCTAAGCGAGCCCAGCGGTCCCCAAGAGGGCCCCGCGAGGTCCCAAGAGGCCCCAAAGAGGCTCCCAAGAGCCTCCCCGAAGGCCCCCAGAGGCCCCCAAGATGCCCAAAAATGGCCCTGAGCGCGCCCCAAGACGCCTCCAGGAGAGCCCCACAGGCCTCCGAGAGGCCCCAAAAAGGCCCATTGGAGGCCCTCCAGAGGTCGTCCCCATCATGTTCCCCGAAGGCGGTCCGGGAACATGATTCCGCGCCTTGGAGGAGTATTCTGCGCCTTCCGAGGCGCCTTGGACGACGTACGATTCATATTCTTGAACGCAACCCGGGAACATGATTTCTCACCGTTTCGGAACGCTTTCCTACTGCTGCGGTGCTCTGGGGGGAAGGGACGGGGGTCCAGGAACATGACTGGGAGGTTAGGGAACGAGGGTTTGGAGAGGAGCAGTAGGACAGACGGACGGGGCCAGGGGGCGGGGATGGGGTGGCGCCACCCGTTGACATGGCCGCCCCGGGCGTCCTGTGGGGTCCACGAACCCGCCCAAGACGGCCCATGAGGCCCCAAAGACAGCCCAAGAAGCCCACAAGACAGCCTCAGCGAGGCCCAAGAGGGCCCCAAGACGCTCAAGAGCGCCCCAACAGGGCCCGAGATGGCTTGAAGATGGCCGAAGAGGGCCCCAAGAGGGTCTTCAAGAGGCAAACACCGGCCTACTTCCATTCGTGAAGCATACATTTTCAGCATACTCGTTTGCTTGGTCCTCACAGTGCCCCAGACGCCCCCGAGCCCCAAGACAGCCCAAGAGAGACCCAAGAGGGCCCACGACGGCCCAAACGGGTCGTCCTGTGAGGCTCACGAAACTCCCCAAGACGGCCCAAGAGGCCCCAAAGCCGGCCCAGGAGGCCCCCAAGACGGCCTCAGGAAGGCCCAAGAGGGCCGCCTCGTTCGAAATCATGTTCCTGGAAGCCTCTCCGGGAACACGATTTCCAGGTTTCTAGGACGCCCAAGAGGGCCCCAGGACGGCCCCAAAAGGGCCCTAAAAGGACCTTCAAAAAGGCCCAGATGGCCGCAGTTCGTTGATTTGCGTGAGATGTTGTTGGATCTCTTCCGCGCAGAGGAGACGGAGAGGGCGAAGGAGGAGGAGGAGGAAGAGGAGAAGAAGGAGGAGGCAGGGAGGAGGAGTGGAGGGGAGGAGGGGGGGAGAGAGGAGGAGGCTCGAGGGCGATCGACGATCGGCGACGACGACCGGCGACGGTGATTGACGACGACGACGACGACGACGACGACGACGACAATGATGACGACGACGACGACGACAATCGACGACGATCGACGACCGACGACGACGACGATCGACGACGATGACAATAGTCGACGGCGCCGATCGACGATCGACGGCGACGACGACGGCCACGCCGACGGCGGCGACGCTGCCCGCGTGACAGCCCGAGAGGCACACAAGACAGCCTCATCGAGGCCCTAGAGGGCCCCAAGACGTCCAAGAGCGCCTCAAGAGGGCCCGAGATGGCTTGAAGATGGCCGAAGAGGGCCCCAAGAGGGCCTTCAAGAGGCAAAACTTTACCCATTCCTTTTGTAAAACGTACAATTTCAGCATACTCGCTTGTTTCGTCCTCAGAGGGGCCCCCGAGGAGCCCCAAGACAGCCCAAGACGGCCCAAAAGGCCCCAAAGCCGGCCCAGGAGGCCCCCAAGACGGCCCTAGGGAGGCCCAAGAGGGCCTCGTTCGAAATCATGTTCCCGGAAGCCTCTCCGGGAACATGATTTCCGGGTTCCCAGGACGCCCAAGAGGGCGGCCCCAAAAGGGCCTAACATGACATTCAACTATCCCGGCAAAGCAACCTAACAGCGATGCGTAGAAGCATAGCTGGAAACATTGCCTGTGGTATTCATGTGAGAGTGCTGTTGTAGAATTCTGGTGTTTTCGCAGTCGCATTCGGATTCGCAGTGGCAGTCGCAGTGGCAACATCAGCGGCAGTCGCAGTGGCACTGCCACTAGTTGCAGTAGCAATAGCTACACTAGCAGCAGCAACAGCAGCACCAGTAATAGTAACAGTAGTAGTAGCAGTAGATGTCGTAGTGATGGTAGTAGTGGTAACAGTGAAGTAGTAGTTGTAGTGTGTGGAGTGAACGAGTAGGAGTGATGGGAGCAGTGGTAGTATCAGTAGAAACGCTGCTTTCGATAACGGTATCTCTAAATGGGGTCTTTGTATAAATGCATTGAGGTCTAAACAAGACACTACTATCAACGGATGTGATTCCAAACGAGACACTGCTATCAACGGGTTGAGCCTCAAACGACACACTTGCATCAATGAGTGTAGCTCCAATGCAGCACGCTGAGGAGCAGCGCTGTTCCCTGCCGCAGGGTGAGGAGCACCGCCGCCAGATTGAGAACTATCAGCATGTCCTGGCAGTGAGGTGCGCAGTAGGCGCCTCGCAGTTCCCTTGAAAGGAAATCTTCGAAAGCAGGGCTGTAGCCAAGAAGGTTACGGGAGGACGATGATGAGATGAGGGAGTTGAGTGCTGGGAGTGGAAGAGCACGAAGAGTGGCGTACAGTTGGCTCCCGGAATTCAAAATGTGGGCCCGGACGTGAGTTCTGGGAAGTGGAAGAGCACGAAGTGGCGTACAATTGGCTCCGGGCATTCAAAATGTGGCCCGGGAGTGGAGTTCTGGGAAGTGGAAGAGCACGAAGTGGCTTACACTTGGCTCCGGGCATCCAAACGGTGGCCCGGGAGTGGAGTTCTGGGAAATCGAAGAGCACGAAGTGGCTTACACTTGGTTCCGGGCATCCAAACAGTGGCCCGGGAATGGAGTTCTGGGAAGTCGAAGAGCACGAAGTGGCCTACAGTTGGCTCCGGGCGTCCACAATGTGGCCCGGGAATGGAGGTTTGGGAGGTCGAAGAGCACGAAGTGTGTGACTGTTTGCTTAAAGCGAGCCCGGCCCTCGCCTGTCCGGCTCCCGCCCAGACCCCCTCTGGGGAGTCATCAGATGCTGTTTTTTGACCCGATTAGAAACCTATCCGTCTTCGCTGTTAGGTAAAAATTCCGAGAGGGCCACGGTTCGCTGATTTTCGTAAAATGTTGTTGGATTTTTCCCGCGCGGAGGAGACGGAGAGGGCGAAGGAGGAGGAGGAGGAGGAGGAGGAGGAGGAGGAGGGGGAGGAGGAAGAGGAAGAGGAGAAGGACGAGGCGGGGAGGAGGAGTGGAGGGGAGGAGGGGGGGAGAGAGAAGGAGGAGGCTCGAGGGCGATCGACGATCGGAGACGACGACCGGCGACGGTGATTGACGACGACGACGACGACGACGACGACCACGACGACGACCGATGACGATCGACGACGATGACAACAATCGACGCCGCCACTCGATGATCGACGGCGACGACGACGACGACGACGGCCACGCCGACGGCGGCGACGCTGTCCGACAGCCTCAGCGAGGCCCAAGGGGGCCCCAACCCAGACATCTGAGAGCTCCAATAATATTGGTGCGCGTCCTCAGCTCCCCAAAAAGATATTTATATTTCTTTCGATCGCCATCGCAAAAATAATACTGCCGGCCACAACATATCATTTACGCGTGGACTTACAACGAACCAGACAATTGTCTGCAGGCATCTTGGCCTCTTGACAAGTAAGGGGGGGGGCATTTTTTTTTACTTTTCTTTTAACACTTTTGGGGTTAAGGGGGGGTGTGGGTGTGTGTGTGGTTCTCTTGGGGAGATGAGGGGCTTTCCTGGCGCCGCGTTCCCGCAAAAAAAAAAAAAACACACTTCCGAGCCCGTGGTGAACCTGGTGCTTACCTTTTCCTCCTCCCTTTTTCTGTCTCGTTTTGTTTTTTTTTGTCTATTTTTTTTGTTTTTTTCTTTTTTTTTTTTTGTTTTTGGCGTCGATGCTTTATTTTTGCTCCTTTCTTTGCTTATACTCCCACTGTCTCACTCGCATCACTCCTCGATCCTCCTCCTCCTCCTCCTCCTCCTCCTCCTCTTCTTCCTCCTCCTCCTCCTCCTCCCTCTTCTCCTCCTCCTCCGCCTCCTCCTCCTCCTCCCTGTTCATCTTCCTCCTCCTCCTCCTCCTCCTCCTCCTCCTCCTCCGCCTCCTCCTCCTCCTCCTCCTCCTCCTCCTCCCCCTCACCCTTCATCCCTCTCTCTTCTTCCTCCTCCTCCTTTTTCCCGTCCTCTCCATCCTCTTCCTCCTCACCCTCCCTCTCCTCCCCCTCCCCCTCCTGCTGCCGCGACCCCAGCACCCATCATGCATCCCACTTTGGAATGGGTGTCCACTGGGGTAGGCGTGTGGGGAACGTCCGACACCAGAGAATGCTCGCAGCGCTCAGAGGCCGGTTTCGGGCCCCGGGACCGTCAGAAAACCGCACAACACAGGAAAACACGTGGAGCTCGGTAGCCGTCAGCGGGCCCCGAGGCCGACGAAGAAGGGGGTAGCGCAAAAGGCGTATTGATTTGTACACTTCTCTTATCTCGCCGCGGGATCCACAGCCCCGAGATGGGGCGGAAAAGCGGAGAAGCGAGGGAGGAGGAGGAACGGCGAGGAGGAAACCAGGAGGAACGGAAAACCAGCCAGCAGCGGAGGCCCCCGACCAGGGGGGGGAAAGGAAGGAAGGGGAGCCCAGGCGGACGGCGCAAGCCAGCGCGCCTCCTGGTTCAACCTTCAGTCAAAGAACATGGAAAGATTATATGTGCCACGGTATACCCTCATGGTGGGATGAGGTCACCCGCGCTCGCCAGGATGGCCACGTTGCCCCTGGCGAGCGCGCTTTGGAGCCGGCGCCAAGCCATTGAGATGCACTCACTCCGTTGACGAGCATCACCCAAACCATCGCCGAGGCTGCGGACAAACGACACCAAGGATTCGCCAGGCCGGCCGAAGGTTTCGCAACACGCTGGAACCAGGTTCAAGTGCGGGTATTTCCGGCGCTTGTAGCCCTCGTGGTGACGAACAAGTGCACCCTCCTTGTCGCACATGGCACTCGTGTCTGCCACTGTGCGGGGCGTCGGCGTGACGATGGCGACGTCTGCCCAGACCTGGCTTCCCCTGGCATCCCACCACATGATGTCGGGATGCTTGTCACCCTCCACTTGGCCGTCATGGGGCTCAATGTGGACCGGGGATGCGACCGTTTCCCGCAGCAGGGCAGCCAGCTCGTCCCGCACCCCATCATGTCGTACAGCGATGTGCCCGCCCACGCTGCACAACAGAGGATGAATGCCGGTAGCCTCCACATGGGCACCACAAGATCGTCCCTGCTGCCGGCTGACATAGCCGCACGCGCCCGCCTGGATGAAGATGGGTAGATGCATGCGAAGCCGGACGGAGGTGACAAACTGCTGGTCTGTGAGCTTGTCGGCCGGTTTCTGCGGCACTTGCAGCCACTGCCCGGACCCGGGCCCCCCGGCAGAGTTGGTGACCAACAACTCCTGTCCCATCGCACCGCGTTGAATAGCCTGCAATGCGCGTGTCACGACGGACTCTCGGAGTTTGCCGGCCGCCTTGTCCGCTTGGGCGATCATCAGGCAGTCTTGTAACGAAGTTGGCATGTCTGCGCCCATGGTGTCTAGATGGGCGACGGCAGAGCGAACCGCCGACAGCACTGTAGGCAGCTCTCGTGCCAGGTCCGCCCCGCTGGCAAATCGGGGGGATCGCTCTGCGGCAGCTTCCAGCTCCCGCGCCCAGCTGGCCAAGTACAACGCGGCAGCACCGTGCTTCACAGACTGGAGCCCAAAGCCTCCGGACCGCCAGGGCAATAAGAACCGCTCCCGCACCGACACCTCGTGGGCTTCCACGCTCAGGATCTCCAGCTGCCCCTCGAACGAGGCTCGGTCGAGGCGCTCTGCTTGGGCATCGTCGACGACGAAATTCTCGCACGTGTAGTTTGCATCACCCGCGGAGGCATGCCTGGCCAGTGCGCTGGCCGTCTGTGTGCTCAGGCCTTTCTCGCGCAGGCGCCAGAGCCTGTCGAGATGCCCGGCCCGCTCCTGGCACAGCTTGTCGACAGATGCCTGCGGCGCTCGGAGCGCCTCTGCAGGCGAACTGGGCGGCGGGAGCGGCAGCTTCAACACCGCCGGTGTGCCTGCGACGACGTCCACGCACACTGTCCCGAACTGTGGCGAGGCCTGCCCGCCGGCACAGACCCGCGATTTGCCTCTAGCCAGGTTCATGGGCGGGCCCAGCGGGCGCAGTACCCCAGGGAGTTCGTCGAGCAATTCCCTTGTTTTGCTCGGGTCCACGAGGCAGTGCGCGTCGTCCTGCACGGCGAACGCCATCCCTTTCTCCTCGATGGCCTCGTGCAGCGGTGCGACCCCGACGGGGGCCAAGAGGGCCGAGATGGGGTCTCCCTGATCCACGCCATTGGTGGCGACGACCGCATGGGTGGCCCCGTCCGCCGCGCGATAAACATGCGAGGGCGGGATGCGCAGCCATGGCGCTATCAGCGGCCACGGTCTCGGCACTCGGCGCTGCACCTGCTGCTCAAGACTCGCCAAATCCAGGTTGCTCCTCCTCCTCCTCCTCCTCGTCCTCCCCCCCCCCTCCTCCTCCTCCGCCTCCTCCTCCTCCTCCTTCTCCTCCCCCTCGCCCTCCCTTCCTCGGCCGCCTGCGTCATCGAGCTTGGGTCCCCAGTCGTGAATCCCCCGACCAGCTCTCGTTTGGAAGTCCTTCTCCCTCGCCCCCCCCCCCCCAGGAGGAGTGGAGCGCGGAGGATTCAAAATTGTGTGCGTGGCGTGTGTTCCTTAAGCGTTGCGTGTGGTAAGATGGGATCGGCGGAGGAGATCGGAGGACCATCCCACCCGCTCCCTGGCCCTCGCCGCCCCCCGCAGTTTGGCCAAGGCCCGCGCGAGGCCCCGGCGGCGGCGGCGGCCCAGCAACCATGGCGTTTTGCGAGGCCATCGGCACGTCGCCGCCGCCGCCGCGCGCGCCGATGCGAGCGGCCGAG